TTGCTAATTTTAAATGCGCTGATAAGTTGCACAAATATTCTAAGGATGTGTGGGGTGGTGCTGAGGTTGGGGTTGGGATTGGGACTGCGGCTGGTGTTGGTGTTGGTGCCGAGGCTGTGGGGTGTGGGAGGGACAGGCGGACAGGTCCGGTGGCTAGTTTGATGATGACGTTGATGATGATGAGCGCTGACGGTTGCAGTCGTTACTGCAATCAATGAGATTGAGAGCCGCAGCAGCAGCAGCAGCAACACCAAGAAGCAAAGCACGCGACTAGTGCTGATTAAGTGTCAAATACAAATACAAAAACACAAAAAAAATAGTTGAGCAATTCGCTTAATCTTAAAGTGTGCAATTGAATATAGTCTTAAGTTTTTTTATTTGATTTTTTTTTATATAAATTGAGTGCACTTGTTGCATTACAGAAACCCACCCAATCTGGCGATTTTTGTGAACGCGAAACGTGAATGTGAATGTGCCTCAAAAACAGTTGCACTCAAAGATCAGAGAAGACTGCCCCGACAGCCGACTGCCGGCTGCCGACTGTCCGCCTATCAGCGATGCAAAATTTAGATGATGCGCGAATTCCCAGATATTTCATAGTTAAAATAGATAGGCAAAAAGGACCGAAGGGGCGGGCACACTTTAGCTGCAGAACTGCAGCTGATTGTTCGCTGATAATTAATGCATGGCAAGAATGCCAAATGCGAAATTGCAAACAGACAACTGATGGGGGCGCTGTGGCAACTATAGACTATAGCGAACAACAACCAACCAATCATCTAGAAAAATCATAAACCCTGAGAAAATACAGTTAGATGTTAGAATGAAGAAACCGAAATGAAGATTTACCATTGTAGAATGAAGTCTAAATGAGACAAGAAATGGCAATAAGATGAGTTAGTATTAATTGCCCCTGGCACAGTTCGAAACGGCAGCGAAGCCAACAAACTCTGGATTGATTCGAATTCATTCCCCACTTCCCCAAATATATATATATATAAATTCTCACAATTCTCTGTCTCTATCTACCCCTCTCTCTCTCTCTCTCTCTCTCGCATTGTCTCACTCTTCAATGGAACGGAAATGCGCAACAACTGCAAAAAAAAAAAGCTGAACTGAAGCTGAGGCTGAAAAGCAACCCACGAAATCTTTGAAGCGTATCTGTGTATCCATAGGCTGTCGCTGTGTATATTTGTATCTGTATCTTATTTGCCTACGCTGCAGCCGAAACACAACAACAACAGCAACAACAGAAAAGAGCCAAATTAATTAACACACACACACACAGACAGACACAGACAGACAGACAGACAGACACACAATGTTTGACTTTTTTCTAGCTGTAGCTGGCTTTTCTTTTGAGCCCGGGTGGTGGGCGAGCCCAAACTCGAACTCGAATTCGAGCTCGAAAGCTCTCTGCTGCAATTTGACACCTTGTGGGCATTAAGTGCTTCCTCTGCCCACACACGACTCCAACTTCAACTCCAACTCCGATTCCGACGACGATTTGGCGACGCCTCGTCTCCAAGCCAAAAAAGGCTGCTGCTGCTGCTGCTGCCGCCGCTGCATTTGGCGGCTTGAAATGTTGCTGTTGCTGCAACCATTGCGGCAACCGGCAACAAATTGGTTGCATTTCGTTTTCGACTGCCTGACATGCAACTGACACTGACGACGACGATGGCGATTCGCTTTTGGGAGGCTGTCGCGACACAGCCCCAAACCAAAAACGAAAAGGAAAACATGAGGAAAGCCACAAAAAACAAAAATTATAATAAAACTATTTGCCAAACTGTTACCTAAATACTCTCTTTTTCCTCTACCATATTATATATAATATTTATATTTATATATTCAACAATTTCAAATTTCGCAAGCATTGAGATGTTTGTACAACAAAATTAATCCGTTTTTACAGCTTTTCCAAATGCTGCAATTATTGATGCAACATTGTTTCTATAATCTCAATTTAGACTTAACAATTTTCCACAACCAAAAAGAAGAAAAAACAAGCTAAAAACCTATATCTTAAATCGGTTAACGAAACTCGTCAGAAATGGTGAGCACTTTTTTTGTTTTTTTGGTTGGGAAGTGCATAAAAATGGCAAAAAACAAAAAGGCTAAAAAAAAAATGTTGGCGTCTGACGGACGTCGTTTCTGTGGCTCAGAGTTCGACTGTTGCTGTGGCTCTGACTCTGCGACTTAGCGTTTTAGCGTGTTTCATTCTTCTTTTTTTGTTGTTGTTGCTTTTTTGTTGTTATTGTTGTTGTTGTTGTTGCTGATGTTTCGCATCTACTTGTGTTCGTATTCGGGTTTCGTTAAAGATCATGGATATGTTTGCCGAGATGCCAAACGGAACGAACAGTCGCTCTGTCCCACTGTCTGTCTGTCCGTCTGTCTGTCTGTCTGTTTGTCTGTCTGTTTGTCTGCCTGTTTGTCTGTCTGGCTGGCTGGCTGGTTGGCTTACTGCCTGTCTGTCTGTCGGTATATGTGTCTGTCGTCTCGTTTGCTGCTTTACGTAGGCACATCTTGATTTTCGTCGTTGTTGTTGTGGTTGTTGTTGTTGTTGTTGTCTTTTACACGCATTCATTAAAAATAAGTTAACAACTTTTTAACACCTAACTGGGCGGCAGACAGTTGAATAAATGAATTATGCTGACGAATGCTGGCGTATGCAGAGAGGGGAGTGAAGGGGAACGCGACCAGCTGTGGGGAAGAACGGCGGTCGATGTAGGCAGCTACGTTTCGATCCGATCCGATACGATCCGTCCGGTCTTTCAAAGGGGGCCAACAGCAACAACAGCAACAACAACAACAACAGCAACAACAACAGCAACAACAACAGCAACAAGCAGCAGGCAGACAGCAGCGCTTGTTAATCAGCTAAATTAAATGCGAAATGAACAAAACGAATTGGTAGTTAGTAGTTGGCCAGTTCTCCTCTCCACCTAGCCCCCCTTCGCTACCACATCTATATCTCTCTATCTCTCTTTCTCTCTCTCCCTCTCTCTCTCTATCTGTCGAATAAAAGTGCGTGGTTTTTAATGTTTGATTAGCCCAATCTGACTTCAGCTGCTCCGCCTCGCTCCCCGCCCCACAAGCTGTGCAGACACACAAAAAAAAAAGCAATACATCCAAAAAGAACGGTTGATTTAGTGTGTTTGTCTGTGTGTGTGTTGTGTGTGCGTTGGCTTTTCATTCATTAAAAAAATAATAATGTTGATGGTGGGATTTGCCGTTGCCCGAATTAGTTGTCTGTCGAATAGGGGCCTACTTACACACTACTCTACTACGCCAAGCAACTCCGCATACATATAAACATAGAGATACAAATTATGCTGAGCTTTTAATTAGCACGAGGCTCTGCCTTTCGGGTCTCTTTTTGAGTGGGTGCCTTGGGGGTTGGCTGCGTGGGAAGGGTGGAAATGGAAATGGAAGTGGAAGTGGAAGTGGAGCTGGAGCTGGAGCTGAAGCTGGGGCTGATGATGCTGCTGAAGGTGGCAAATGTGAGATATGATAAGCCATTGATGATTGTTGTTTTATTGCTCAAGTGAGGCCCAATCTTAAGTTGTTGACTTATAAAGAGCTAGTTCGTTGAGAGTTTACAGCGCATTAGCTATAATAATAACTGTTAATATGCATATGATTGGCAAGTTTTTTTTATCGTTTTTAGTTATTAGTTACATGTTAGCGATTAGCGATCTTGTACAACCTATATAAAAGGTCATAAAGATACAAATCGGCAAGCAATGAGCGATTTTTTTTTTAACAAAATGACTTGACATATTCCGACGGATATGGGCCATTGCAAGAATATTTTTATCAAATTCTAGGGAAATATAAAATAAAACATTTGTGGCAGATAAAGAAAAACTTGCAGAAAAGTGGAAGCAAAACGATTATTTATATTGTATAAGTGTAAGATCTAAAGTGAAACTTAATTGGGCTATTAGCGGCAGTAATTTTAACTGTTTTACGGCTTTAGTGTTTAAGTTTTGAACTGGGTGCAGCAGTTCTCTAAATACAACATCGAGATGAACATTGGCATTGGCATTAACATTAACACTTGTTGCAATTCGATTTGTATTGTAATACGAGAAACAGTTCAAAGTCGTTGCAGTAAAACCGCAATCTATTTTCAATTAAAAGAAAATAAAAATAAAGTCGAACCCATAAACATATATTATGGAAATTCAGTTAATCAAGCGTGAGAGTTGTCACAAATTGAGCTACCTCAACTGGAGAAACTGGAAAGAGAGTATACGTCAGGGAACTTAAAACTTCGTATTGAGAGTTGATATTCATACTAAGCCGCTTATAGACAAAAGCGAGTTCTTTTCTACACTGTAATTTTTGTGTTATTTTGGGATGGGGTTGCCGATGTGTCTAGGAACGAAAAGGTAGGCAGACAGACAGGCGAGCGAGCGAGCGGAAGGGAATTCCCATTTTCCGGATTAGCACTAACATAAAAAGCGATGAAAAACCCAGGACAGCAGATCTGCCTGCTAAACAATCTGTTGTGTTGTGTTGTGCAGTGTGTGTGTGTGTGTGTATCTCTACCGGTTGGGCTGGGGGATTAAGGGTGCGAGCCAGTACCCGCCTCGAGGCACCGACAAACCGAACCGCTACCTGCGGGGAAATACCGAAAGGCGAACCAACTTTTATGGCAAACGAGCGAGAGAGCATCGGGGCGTATGTGCAATTTAGCTGTTGCATAATACTTGCTACTTTGATATCTGATACAGTTAGTAGAACGCTTCAATGGTTTCACTATTTTTCAACTAATACGCATTTCGCATTTCGAAAGAAAAGTGATTGCCTCATATATGGAACGGAGGTAGACACATATCATTTATATTTACATTTTCAAAAATTCTTCATTTGAATTTATGCAATTTCAATTTGACATTCATATTTCTGTTAATCGTATAATGATAGTATAAAAAATATGCTCTACTTGAATAGATGTGGTTATGGATATTGATGGATATTTGTACACTTACCCGCTGGTCGATTGGAGCGCCTGGCCGTGTCGGCCTCCTCGAACATGAGGGGCGCATGGCGTCGCGCTTGGACCGCTTGGGGCCAACAGCAGGCGGAGGACAGGCAGATGAGCAGCGCGACGAGGAGCAGGTGTTGCAATTTTCTATGATAGTGATATGCTGGGATGCCGCTGTTGGATGTACTGCTGCAGTCGGAGCTAATGCCCCTGCCATATGTTGCCGTACTGTTAGCTGCTGCCCCCGGTTGCTGCTGCTGCTGCTGCTGTCCCCTGTCCAGTGTCTGCACGGTGCCTGTGGCCGTCGCCAAGGCCGTGGCAACATTCGTTGAATTGTTGATCATTTCGTTTCGTGCTCTTTACCCCTTTTTTAGTTTAGCTTTAACTCAATTATTTTTTAGGCACTTTTGCGCAAAAAAAAAAAAAAAAATAGAAAATGACTAAAAACTTAAGTACATACACTTTTCGTATTTATTCTCTTTTTTGTTGCGCTCTGTTTTGTTTGTCAAAAAAATGTAAACAGGAAAAAAATATATTTGTATATTAGAGATTGTTGTGATTTACTTGTTCACCGACCGAACCGATATTTTAATATTTAATTTTTGATTTTTGTGAATATTCTTGAATTTTATTTCCACGTTTTGTTTTTTGTTTTTGTTTTATTTTTATTCTACAGATTAGATAACACACGCGTGTTTTTCTCTTCGTTGATAGTTTTTTTCTTTCTTTTCTAAAACACCTTTACTTATATAGTTTTGGTTTCGTACACTTTATTCGTTCACATTTAATGAAATTTGTCGCATTTGAATTTTGGCCATTTAATATTCAAGACTTGTTTATTTTGCACATTTTTCTAACCGACTTTCTTTCCCCAAAAACGTTGCTGGTTAATGTTGCTTGGTTGTTTGTTTGTTGCTGTTTGCTGTTAGTTGCTGATCGCTGCTTGTGGCTTATGGCTTGTTGTGTTGCTGTTGCTGTTGCTGTTGTCGGCGAGTCGGCGAGTTTTTATCTACTAGATAGCTCACGGGGCGCACACGCCGTGTATATGGGCTCTGTGGCTGCTGCGCCGCTGCTTGCTCAATTGCGACTGTGTGTGTGAGTGTGCGAGTGTGTACGATGACGACGATGTGCGTGTGTGTCTGTATACGTGCCAGTGTGTATGTGTGTGTGGCTGTGTGTGTGTGTTGTGCGGTTACGAACGAAAATAATGTCCACACACGGTATCGGTCGGTTGAATAAATAAACTAAAACCCAACAAGCACAAAACGATGAAAGCAGCGACGCTAACGACGACGGCGACGGCGACGCAGGCAGCGACAGTGACAGCGAAAGAGAGCAAGCAAACATGCGAGCAAGAGTGAGAGAGAGATTGAGAGAGAGAGTGAGAGAGAGAGAGCAGCAGCAGAACGTGCAGCCCAGACAGGCAGGCAAGCACGCAGGTGAGGCAAAAAAATAAAATAAACAGCAGCAACAACAACAGCAACAAAATTGCGGACAGAGCGAGAGACTGAGCGAGAGTGAGCGAGGGAGAGCGTGCGCAATACGAGAGCAACAAAGTTGCTGCTGTCGTGCGTCGCTTACTGATCGTATGTTCGGCTGTTCGGCTTTTGTCGTTTTGCTAGCGGTTTTGGCAACAGCAGCAAACGAAACGAAACGAAACGACGCGCAAGCAATTTTCTTTTGCTGCTGCTTGCTGTTGTTGTTAGTGTTGTAGTTGTTGTTGTTGCTATTGTTTGTCGTTTGCAAAACTTGCGCCTTGCTGTGACTGCGACTGCGACGGCGACGGCGACTGCTGCTGAGACTGCGGCTGTTCCTGTTGCTGAGTCGCGTGTCGCCGAGATGTTTGCCCAATGCAAAGTTGAATGAGCGCCTCAGCAGCAGCAGCAGCAGCAACAACAGCCGACGCCAAAGCACCGACAGCGGCGCATGCGTGCCTGCTTGAGCAGCATGTTGACAACGCATTAGCAACATGTTGCCAACCACCTGACTTTCTACTGACTACCTGGCATGTTGGCTCTACATGTTGCGTGGACTGTGCGTGGGCGTGAGTCCAAGCAAAATGAAGATGGTGTCCGCCTAGAGAGGGAGGGGCAGATCGGCATCGGTTGGGATGGAATGGGTGTGCAATATTCTTGTTTGTATATCCTGCCAATCACAGACTTGTAAATATCGAGACAGATGAAAAATGGGAGGGCAGCGCTGTCCAAACTAATTGTTATAATAACATAAACTGAGAGAGAGAGAGAGAGAGAGAGAGAGAGAGAGAGAGAGAGAAAGCTGAGGCTTAGAAACTCAGTGACCCATCCAATTACCAAATCCATCCAATTTCAATTTCAATTTCAATAATAATAAGCAATCTCTGAGTGTATGAATTTCTATTAAATTAATCCGATAGCGAGAGAGTGAAAGAGACAGAGAGATATGCGTTTGATTTCTGTCGAGCTGGTTGGAAAAGCTGCTAATTTATGGCTGCTACACGATCAATTAACTCCGGCGGAATTGACGGCGAAAACGAAACGGAACGAAAAATATGCAAGGAATGACTAAAGCACAAGATTAATCATTCAAGTATTTCTTTCGCAGTACATAAAAAAAACAAGCTAAAAAATATTAAAGAAAACGAAAATTCTCGCTTGATTTTTTCCAATTTTTCCTTTATTTTTTTTTCTTTAGTTGACCATTTTTTTATGATTATTTTCTTGTTTTTTTTTTTTTTTGTCTGGCGACAAATCCCTCTATGGCCGTCAATATATCATTTTAAAGCTACAACAAAAAAAATGCACCTTATTTGTTGTGTCTTGTTGTTGTTTTTGTTTGTTTTTTTGTTTGTTGTCCGTTGTTTGAGTGGGGCACGTGTGAGCGCAATTAAAAAAATAGTCAGAAATATATTAAGTATTAGTAATAAATAATATGCGACCAAAAATATCTGCAAAAAAAAATTTATGACAATGTGACAAAATTATGTTAAACTAGAAAGAAATTCCAGGCTATGCACGCCGCAGATAATATACCCTTGCTGACCAGAAAAGTACTCACAACCGAATAGATTCTTTTTCTTTATTGTGTGTTTTATAAGTCAAACAAATAGAGTGATGTCCTTAATTAGGGTGTAAAGAGAATTTAAGTTTAAGAATGCCGAGGAAGTTCGGGGAGATGATACAAGAAAAGTGAATAGCTCACTGAACTCATCTATCGACAGATTAGTCCTACATAAATGATATAGTGATCACCGATTCGATCGATCCTTCATCCAAAAGACAGAATGCTCCAAGTTTAATCGAAATACCTTTAAGACCTTTGAGTTTCATCAGAATAGCTTTTCACATAGTGTGTTAGATGGATCGATTAATATTTACGTTTATATATAATACGGAGTTGAAGACGACTCCTTCAATGCGTTACACACTTCAAGACACAATTATAATACCATCTGCAGGGATATAAATACATGAGAGAGCTGACGAGTGATCGATGGCGATGGCCAAGTTGAGCGGAATGAGAGAGAGAGAGAGAGAGAGAGAGAGAGAGAGAGAGAGGGAGAGAGAAGAGATGGTGGGTGGGTACAGGGGGGCTTTTGGGGGAGGAAGTGGAGGGGGCGACTGAAGGCTGACTGAAGGCGTTTAGTTAATTAATTTGTTTGCTTTCGTGTTTTTGATTCCCCCGTTCTTGTCAATTTTATTATCAACAATAACAACAACTGCAAAACATAGAACACCGACTACACAGACTACACAGACAGACAACAACAACAAACAACAACAGGAACAACAACAGCATCGAGCTGAACTATTTTAATGTAGCGCCAGTCGTTGGCCATAAAATGGCGAACGATATCGTTAACAATAATTTCTGTCACTCTTAAAGCAAAAATAAAACAAATTAAAATAGTTGAAAGCACTTATAAAAAATACGCAACATACATAAATACAACAAGAGCTGAACTACAACCAAATAAATAATGGAAAATATAAAAAAATGCGACAAAGAATGCAAAAAAAAACATTATGAAATAATATGCACGAAAATAGGCAGATGGCAACAGTAACAATCTTCATACAAATACTCTCCCACCAAAGGGTATTTTCATCCTGCTAGGCAAGAAGGGAAAAATGGGATGAAATGTTTTTTTAAGAATGGCAAGTCCTTAAAATATGCACAACAGATAGTAATAATTTATTTCATTTATTTATTAATTAAGAATATATTTTAAATTAAGGAATGCATTTTTCTATGCGCTCTCTTTCAATGATATATAAACATATTTAATTAACTTATTTGAAAGGGTATTTCCATTTCGCCTGTTTCAAAATCTTTGCATTTTGTTGTAGTTTTATTTTCTGCTTTTAGTCCCATTTCCACTTCATAATTTTTAATATTTTTTGTTTGCGAGAAATTTTCAGTTATTGTTTGTTTTTTGTTGTTTGTTATTTGTTTTTTTGTTGTTTTTTTTTTGTCATCCCCATTTAATGCGCTGCCCGAAGCGACGTCGACGTGGACGCTGTCTGCGATTTGAAATATTCCTATAAATGTTTTGGCCTCACAGCCCGCCGCAAACAACAAATAACCAAGACACACACACAAAAACCACTTTATATATATATGAATCGGTGATATATATAAGTATATGTATATATATAAATATATATATATATATAAGTGCGATATCTGTCTCTTGTCTATATGAAAAGAAATGTTAAATGACTGAAACATGCGTACAAAATGCTAATGCAAAAGCAACAGCAACAAAAACAACTGAAACAACAACAAGCCGCAATCAACAACAATCAGCAGCAACAACGATAAAAAAAAAAACAAAAACAAAAAGTTTTCTAGACGCTCGAAGAACAGAAAACGAGCAGAACAGAAAAATGCTTTTCCTTTGATTTATGTAGTTTTAGCGAGCGACGTCAACGTTAACGTCGACGCTGACTTCGCTGCCACAGCCGCAGTGGCAATCACAGGAGCAGCAACACACACACACACACACACACTAAACTAGTCATAGACTAAGAGTTGCACTTGCAGTTAAAGTTAAATCTAATGGAATTTAGGCTAACTAGACTAAAAGTCAGAAATCTCAAGTGACTTGAAAACATTTGTATGGAAACTTATTTCAAATTTCCACATAAAAGTTGGAAATGGAATCGCTTGAGCGCATTATATATACTACAAGTACTAAGTGCCTTAAAATACAATATGTTATTCGATTAGCTTGCACTTGAACCGTTTTCAATTTAAGCTCCAAATTATTTCCCTATCGAATTCTACGAATAGAACACCAGTCAATTAGTCTTTTCCCATTTTAGATTATTACGCTGAATTACTCAGTTGAGGGTGATACGTGCGTGAAGCTCTTGTGAAGTGTGCTACAGATAGTATATCGTATAGATCACTGCAGTACGCT